TGATGGTCCATATCCAATAACATTAACAGGAATGATAGTAACAGTGTAGTTAGTATCAGTAAGAGGTAGTCCAGTGATAGTAATATTAGTATCATTAGTGTATACAATAAAGTTACTGTGACTGTGTATATTAATAACGTAATACAGGATAGGAGTAATTGGTATAGTAGAATAGTTCTAAGTATTATCAATATTGATAATAATAATGGTTAACATACTTGAGTGTTATTCCACCATATTGTAATACTATTGTAATATTATCAGCAGCTGGTAGTTGTTTTTCAAGTGTCATGGTAGAAGTTGGTTATACACCTATAATTGATAAGTACAATACTGATGGTTGATGGGTGAGTGGAGCATGATAACGTCTACTAGTGTCTAAAACTGTCTATTGCCAGATCAGCATAATGACTCTACAGTATATGAAATAACAATATACAGCCACATCATTAAAGCATATACAGTAATGAATCAGTATAACAATCATTAAAGTATAAAGCATACAGTAGTTGATTTCCCTGAACCACTACACCATTTTAAGTAAAATTAAAGTTCTATTTTACATCATATTGTCCACCTGATGATAAACCACTCCTCTTATAAGATCACCATTTCCCCTGGAACCAGAGGGTGACCTCACAAAAGAGATACTATACTGTACTTGACTATATTAATGCATGCAAGGTTTATAATAATAACAGGATATCACTGTATGGCTGTCTATTGATATGAGGTCTGCCCCACCAACCCTCTGTACACACACTCTATACCTATCATTAGTATACAGTACTGTCTATAGAAATAACTTCACATTGTATTGTATATACTAAAAGGTTATAGCTCCTCCTAATGACCTTTACTCATTCATTCATTATCAGACAGTATATATTTACCTGAATTTGAGTTACATCAGTATTCTTGTTACCAGTTGAATATATGTATGGAATATTATTGATTTCACCATCACTTGGTCCCACTTCAGAATACACTCCAACAACTAATAAAATACAATAATATTAATAACATTATAATACTGAATGGTACTTGGTTATATCATTGTTATGTGTGTACTAATGTCATTGTGTAGTGTATGCAACACTTTCCTTAAGTAACCTGTAATACAATAGAAATAAACTGATGATGTACATATCTTAGCCTATCACTAGGACACACTGGACTATAAAATTGAGAGGTTTGAACCAATGTTGCTGCAGATAGTAAGATAAGTTAATTAAGATCAACACCAGTAGATACCAGTGCAGTAGCCATTATAGTATAAAAGGAATGAGAACTGAGCAGTTTATGCAAGAATAAACAATAAAATGTTTACTCAGGACAATAATATTATTACTGACTTCCAATAACTGTGTCGCTTTTGTTCTTTTTTGCTATTAGCTACACATATAAACATTAAATGCAATGTGTGTGTAACACAAATGTAAGTACACAGCTTTAAATAGTTCATATCAAAATAGACTATATCACATCATTATTTGTCCATATGCATCATTATTGTGTATATTAATTATATCTTTATTAATAACATCATAAGCAGTATTAGCCTGTAGTTCCATTGGTGTATCATATATTGGTACTCCAGTAGTAGTAGTTGGTTTAACAATGATCTCATCATATGTAGGAGTAACTGCTCCATCAGTACTACTAAAAGCTTCCTTTTTAGATATTTTATATTTTTGTCCTGTGTACATAATAGCAAAATAGCAATAATTGACAATGATTATAGTAATCAAACTTACTTCTTTGTTTCTTGATTGCCAGTATCACTAACACCAATATAATAATAATTATTATTATAACAAATACTGTTCCAGTAGCTCCTGATATAATAGGAACAGCATTAGAACCACCAGCAGTAGCTGATACAGTTGTTGTTGATAGCGTACTCATAGTAGTAGTAATGCCAGCTGATGTACCAGTAGCTGAAATGAATGAAGATGATTGTTCATAAATTGTTGAAGACCCTACATAACTATTATTAATTAATAGTATAAAGCTATATTAGCACTTACTTGAAGTAGATGATGTATATCTTACTGATGTACTGGTACTTATATCAGTTAATGTAACTAATAATAATACAATAATAATGTATTAATGAATTAAGTGTACAGACCTGATGATGGAGTATTAGTAACTGAACTAGTACTGGTCATTGTAGGAGTAATACTGGTTACACTGACTATTAATAGTAACATCAATAATGAACACTGTATAATTAACTGCACATACCATTAACAGTAGCTGATGGTCCATATCCAATAACATTAACAGGAATGATAGTAACAGTGTAGTTTGTATCAGTAAGAGGTAGTCCAGTGATAGTTATATTAGTATTAGTGGTATTACTGTTGTATATAATACTGTTTGATGTATTGTATACAGTAATAATGTAATAATGAATAGGAGGAACTGGTATAGTAGAAATAGAATAGTCCTAAATAATTTATTATCAGTAATAATAATAATTAATAATATTTAAAGTTTTAAACATACTTGAGTGTTATTCCACCATATTGTAATACTATCATTTGATATCTGATCCCAACTAATATTAACAACTTGAGCTGGTACTATAAGAAATACAATGAGTGTGTGTGTGTATAGTACTTACCATTCCATATATACTGTATTAATGATGAAGGAGGTCCTTCTCTTCCAATAGTATCAATAGGAATAATAATAAATGAATAATTAGTACCAATAATAAGATCATTAATTGTTATATTAGTGTTTTCAGTAGTAAAATTTGTTTCATCAGTATTGTTACTAATTTTAGTAACAGTATAATGGTCTATACATAAACCTGAAGATGTCCAATTGATGAATAATGAATCATTATCAATAGCTTCGATATTAATGTTACTTACTGCTGGAGGTGGCCCTGCTTTCACAAGAACAAAATGATGAAAGTATTCATTTATTAATATACCTGGATAATTAATAAACTTTCTTTTATATTGTCCTGTTAATCCTTCAGCACAATCAATACTAGTTCCATTTAATGATACTGGAGCAGGATCATTAGTTGCTGTAGTAGCTATTGTGTTTGGCGCATTGTACTGTGTTACTTTTAGTGAAAAACTACCAAGTGTTGTTGGAGGTGAACTACCAGCTAATAGGACAAATTGTCCATCATTCCCATTCAATCTCCATCTAACAGTTCCACCATTAACAGTTGCACAAGTAAACACCAGTTCATCTCCAGGACACACAGTAGAAGGTGACTGCTCATATGCTATAATGTCACATAAAATGATGATATTTAGTAGATTTATACAAATTTACCTGATACAACAAGACTGATGTATCCAGTCAACACAAGACACCAGTAGATACCAGTAGCAGTAGCCATTAGTAAGAGGATTGGCCAGACTATTGATACAGTACTACATAAACAACAAACTGTTTATGATGATGCAGCATGAATAGTATGCCACACCTGCAAGATGGTAGGTGTATGTTTCACTGTTGATACTATTAATGATGGTATACATAATGAATATTTAGATGACAATAAGAGCACTGTATACATAATTTTGTCCTTCACAGGGCGGGGCATGAGACTACCTTCACAGCTAATTGTTGTAGCTATATCTCATCACATTATCACAATAATTTGATATGTAATGATGTTGCATGATATTAACAACATGATGGCCATATAATGGTGAAGTGTGCAGTATGATTGCTTTCAGTACTATTCTTGGTATTGTCTATTGCTACTAGCAGCTGCTTGTGTACTCTCTTTCCTCTCTTGTTCCTCAATCCTATTCCTTCTAAATGTTATTATTCTATTGTATCAGTTCTCCATTAGTTATTGTTATCAAGAGTAGATCATCTACTCTTGTTATTACTGATAGTCAGTTCAGTACACATTCATTACATTACGATAAACAATGGATTGTTTATTGAGACTAATTGACAATAACATTCATAACTGAGTGAATCTGTTTATTAAAACATGTCAATTGTTGACAACAAAATACAGAAATAAATTACCAAAATTAATAAAATGATTTTTACAAATAACAGTGACATTTTTAAATATATATACATGTTCTTATGTAGCGTAGAAAGTTTGAGCTGATTTCAATTAAAATTGGATTTTTTACAGACTTTTAAAAGTTGCTTAAGAATCAGGACAAAATACCTCTACAGGCTCCAGGACCAAATTTTACCAAAATTGAAAAGGAGAAAATCTTCTATTTTTATAATTTTATCTGATGCATTTTGTATATGTCACAATACACACTCACTCATTTGTCTCTTTCCCTCTATTTCAATTATTAATGTTATTGTTTTTATTGTATTTTATTAGATAATAACTGTTACAAACATCAACAATCATAATTATATCAGTACAGCATAATAACAATATCATAGGCGTAGGAATGATTCAAAAGTTGGGGGGGCTCAACATTAAAAAGCATGACTTAGCATGTGAACATGGGGGGGGGCTAAGCCCTTCTTGCTGAAAAGTTGGGGGGGCTTCAGCCCCCCCAGCCCCCCCCCCATTCCTACGCCTATGAATATAGTCACTTCATATAGCAGTTAGTCCTTTATATGGTGTATACTAGCACATCAATAGATTTATGATTATTTATGATCAAACTTCACACCAATTATCAATGGCATAGTGCCAAGTCATAATCCTCACACTTCAAAGCCCACAGTGTGATTGGTGTCAAATCCTGACACTACAGGATCCTTACCCCAGGATGAGTGTATTCCTTCGTCTGTTGCTCCTTGTTCCTTCTGTTGGTTAGTACTGCTAGCCTCATTGTATGAGAAATTAATATTGTCTATTCCACTTCACAGCTTGTGTTAGTTTATCACTGACAAGTGGAGAGGTTTGTGAAGGAGCTGTTGCTACTTGGACTTGTGTTGTTAATAATTCTTATGATGGGGTTTCAGTAGCATGGCATAACAATGGAGAAACTGCATATCCACTTAATACTTTAGCTCCACTTGGATCTGGCAGTCCATTCAATGCCACACTTACCTCTATTAATAGTAGTCTCATTGCATCAATAGCAACTGCTAGACTAATCAATA